ATGTTATGTGGCAAACTTTGTTTTGCAGAATGAAGATATCAAGCCTGATAGTGCATCTAGACCAAAACCAAAGCAGGGCTGGAAGGAGACGACCATCTACAGCCTTCAGAAAGGAGCTGGCCAGCCTCCAGTCACCAAAGTCATCACCAAAAGTGGAGAGGGCAAGCACCCCAAGCTCGGTACGTCCTACTCCAGCCAGGACAAGAGCAAGCTCGTCTCTAACCATCTGGAGCAGCTTCTTTCCGGGGCTTCGGGCACTCAGCAGGGCATTTCAGGTGGTGAGGATGGGTGGCCCAAAGGGAAGCTCCACTACCTCAGCTACATGCAGCCAGCTCAGAGCAATCATGCAGAGCCACAGGCTGCTTTTGGCTCCAAAGCTGCACAGCCTGATCTCAACAGACTGCTCTTCAAGGCTGGCTCGAACCGACTCACGGCAAAAGAGCCTCTTAGCGCCGTTGATGGTAAGTTCGTCTTTTTATGTAAATTTTAATACACACTTCTTACTCACGTTATGTTTATGTAGCTTGTTTTGCAATTTGCGGAACACTTTGTTAATCTTCTTTTTCTCTGTCTGTCCAGATCGATTCTTGCAGAATGCGGTGAACCAGCTGGGCAGGCACAGCGTTAACATGGAGGCTTTGATGGGCAAAGACCTGGACCATCTGGCTGAAATCATCACAGGAGCACTGCAGGAGGTCGATGTGGAGCCAGGACCAGGAGTCGCTACCTCCAGGGGGGAGATGAAGGGTAACCATGAGCCACTGGCAGCAACGCTTCTGAATCAAGACCAGGACCTGAAATCATATAAAGAGCAGAATCTAAAGGAAATGCTGAAAGTAAAGCAACAAGGTTAGTGTTTGTGCTACTGGGGAGGAAAAAAATAGAAAAAATGCTAGCATCATTCATATTGTATAATAAGTCAAGGTTCCAAGAAATTATGAGTTTATAAATGATATTGCAAGGCTTTTTTCATGTAATGCTCATGCAGAATCTTGCCCGATGTATTTCTGAGCCTTTCATTTCGTGTCATAACTGCTTTTCTTTGCCAAACACAAAAGGAGAACCTCGGTTTTCACATAGTCTGCTCACATACATTGTGTTTGTTTCCAGGCCAACAAACAGACGGTGCCGACAAAGAGACCGTTGACAAGGTGAATTTAAAATGACTCTGCTCAAAAACAAATTGGTTTCTCAGGGAGGGAGATATGTCCAAGCTTTCTTGTTATTCACTTTAAATGTTGCTTTAAAGGTATGATTTAAAAAGTTGCACAGCCTACCCTTTGTTGCTGAATGTTTAAAAAAAGCCTTATAGCTACAAAGTTTGTTTTTTAGTGAATTGTGCAAATGTAAATGCAAATTGTTTGACTGTAAATGTGTTGAATTACTGAATTCATACTTTAAGAGATTACAAGAAAAATGGTTTATAATTAGTCTTTAAAATCAGTACTCTGTCTCAGAAATGGTGATAAAAGCTGCAACAGTTTGCACCTGTTTCTACTACTGGCATAAAAATACAATTTTAGTCAACTCTGTAAAATGTTACTTCTGTGAAAGCCAATTATAACAAAAATGCCCTCTTTATTTTTTCTAAACAGTATGCAGTCTTCTTTTCCAAGCTACTGGACTACCTCAACATGGAGCCATTTGGTGACGCTCCAAGAGTCAACAGTGGCCCAACGTCTCCCCTTCAGAAAGTAGTTGGACTAGAGAACGTCCACAGTAAGACAATGCTGGGCCAAGTTCCAGTTCCCCACCTCTCTGAGGAGAAAATCATGACCATCCCTGCAAAGGAAGGGTCCACCCTGCGGTTGAGCAGTGGACCAGATGGGTCAGATGCCCGGGTGGAATCTGAGACTGACAGGTGGATGCAGGCGGATCAGACTCTAGCAAGAAATCAGCAGCCAGAGGAGCCACAGAAGAAGGACATGAAGATCAAAACCCAGCTGCTCCACATAGGAGTCAAGGAGTTTTCCAGCAGAGGGAAGGACAGACACTTTGGCTACATCATCACTGGCTCAGAGTGAGTGGGATCAATTATTTAGAATTATTTACACAATGAATTTAACTATAAATATAGGATTTAAGTTCTAAAACATTATTATTATTATTATTATTATTATTATTATTTTTCTCCTGTGCTCAAGGTTTGACTCTAAGACCTTGTCCCCACGGTAACAGTTTTTCCAAAATGATAGTTTTATTTGGTGTCACTAAAAATATCCTGAACATTAACATGGTGTCCTACCTAGAAATGTCTTCATTCACACAGAACAATTAAAAAATGATCCAAAACACTGTAGTAACTATGCCAGGCCTGTGGGTGGCAGTATAATGCTGTCAAAAAATGCAGCAAAAACAGGAAACAAGGTGTAAAAAATATGAACATAAGGCTTACACCCTGGATGCAAAAAGTGAACACTTTGAGAAGAAGAGGACTCACTCTGGTCAAAGACTAGATTAGAGGTGTGACTATGACATCATTGTTTTCAAAAGGTTGTCTTTTGGCTGTATAAGAAAAAACGCAAAGGTGGTGTCTCCAATTTTTTTTGAACTCAGAAACTTGTTTTCCAAAAATATTGAAATATCCTTAAAAAAACCTTTTCCTGTATGGGTGCAATGCTGAAATGATAAAAAAAAAAAGCTTTTGCGTATTAAAAAACATTCATGTGGAGACTGCAAATAGCCCCTTAGTCTTTGTGGTGTGTTTGGCTCCACCTTTTGAACAGGAATTTTATTATTACTTATTCCATGTGGTAATAAAAAACTAGGCAGTTGTCCATCAAGGGGACTGATGTACTTGGAAGAATAAGGGTATATTTATGTTTCTTACAAACTGCTTTTGCCTTTGTGCTTAGATTTAGTTAAATCAACATTAACATGCTACATGCTTATTGTTCATGTGAGATTGTTTAAAACGAATTCTCTAAAGACAAGAAGAGTTGTATTTTGTCCCAATTTTTTTTTCAAATATTGGAATTAAAATGTTCATTTTTAACATGAATGCATGCTCTCCCTTTAAATCAGATAACATGTTTATAGCCAATTATATAGAAAAAAAGCATATTAAAATAAAGTAAAAGTACATACACTGAATTCTATGAAACAAAGTGTTATGATCTGTGTTAACAGATTGTGTTAATGGTGTACCACAAGGCTCAGTCTTAGGACACACCATCTTCACAATCTACATAGGTAATGTAGGTGAGATCATCCCTGATGCATCCTTACATTTATACACTGACAATATAGTTGTTTACTGTCAAGCTAACTCAATTGCTAAGGTTTTCCAGCTTTTGCAATCAGCTTTCGACATCATCCAGTAGGATTTGTTCCATCTCAAACTTGTACTAAATGCCGACAAAACCAAAGGGATCTTGTTTTCAAACAGGAAGTGGGTCCCAGGCCAGCAGTCCTTCCTTCTATTTTATCTTTGAATGGTTTTCCTATTGAGTTCGTCGATTTGGGTATCTTGGTTGATTCTCATCTCTCTTTTAAGCCCCACGTCAAAAATTTGTTAAAGAAACTGAAAGTTAAATTGGGTTCCTTTTTCAGAAATGGATCCTCTCTAACTCTGAACACTAGGAAACACCTTGTAACTGCGACTTTCCTTCCCTCCATTGACTATGGTGAAATTATTTACATGAACGCTACAATCACCTTTCAGATGTTGGATGCTGTCTATCAGTGTGCACTAAGATTCATAACTGGCTGTAACTATCGTACCCACCATTGCAACCTGTATTCACTGGTCAACTGGTCATCATTAACTTCACACAGACTTTCTCACTGGTACATTTTCATCTTTAAATCACTTCTTGATCTGTTGCCTTCATCTATCTCCTCCTACATGTCACTACGTGAGTGCATTTACAGCGTGCGCTCCCATGACATTATATGCAGTGAACCTTCAGTGCGGACCGAACTAGGCTAAAAGACCCTCTTCTACTCTGCTCCTGTTTCCTGGAATATCTTTCAAAAAGATCTGATGCTCTCGACCTTGACCTCTCTAAGTGGCTTCAAACACCTGCTAAGTTCAAGGCAAAAACTAATGCAGACATGGTCCTGTTTTTAATATTTTACATCACTTTACATTGTAGCTGTTTTTGTTTAATTTTTTTTAAATATAAATTTCTTCCATTTATTTTTTCAATTAATATTCTTTCTTTTATGATTGTCTACTGTTATCGTAGCTGTCTACTGTTGTCCTCATTCTTTGTTTAAAACAGGTCTCTCTTGTAAATGAGTCCTCGAGGCTCAACGAGACTAACCTGAATAAATAAAGGTTGAATGAATTATGGGGTTGGATATATGAAATAGAGTGGCATGAGTGGCAGCAGTGCTCAGGAATAAATGTATGTGAACTGCATTTATTTTATACTACCTGTAACTGCATTTCACACACATTAAATTAGATCTTAATGCATGTCAGTGTCCCTGGTTACTTTTGTGGTAATAAAAATCATGTAATTTTGAAAGCAATAGCACAAACCCCTCCTTCATTCTAAATGTTTTGATGTTCATACCTGCTTTGTATTGTAGCTTCTGGATTCTGACATACTAATGGACCTCTTTCAAGTATCTCAATACAAAGTACATATCTCCTTTCTGAAAACTGGCTTTAAAAGGTACCATTTCCATCAAAGCCCACCTACATATTCTTGTCTTTGTGGAAAAGGATGCTGTGGGTTGAAATCTTTTGTGTGCGCTATACCTGATTACAATAGCAGAGATGATGAATCCCTCAGCGTGAAAGCATTACTGTTTCCTAATGAAGATACTTTGTGGGGAAAGGCAGCCAAGTTCTTTCTGCCGCTCGTTCTCCTTTCCCGTTCACTCGGATCAGTCTAAGCAAAGATAAGTTTCTATCGACTGTGTCTTCGCCCCTGGCGCTCTCTCAAATCCCTTTATGGTGTTATCAAGTCGAGTGTCAGCAGGTTGTCCTTCACCT